AAACCAGCTGACAGATTGCAAAACTTAAGTGAAGGAATTATTCTATGAGCATTTTCCCTGCTGTCCTGCAGGGATCTGGTTTTGGCTCACTACTGTCCAACAGTGTTTGATCAATTATCTAGAAAAGCTTCAGTAGTCATCCTTCTTAAAATCTGAAGGTGGGGGGGAAAACCACTGATGAAGTGCTGAACATTAATGGGATCAGGTTGCTGCTGTGGACTGCTTGCCTTGAGTGGTTTTTACGAAACAATATTGCAAAGTCAGATACCACAGGGACAAATGATGGAAGTCACTGAATCCCCAAAAGGGGTCTGCTAGACAGCCAAGTAAGAATAGCAGAGCAGGATATAAAGCTTATGATCTATTTATATGATGTCAGTAAGGTCGTTACTATAAGGACATGTTCTGTTCTGGCATCCACTCTTCAAAAAAGAACATTCAGGAAATTAGAAACAGTTTAAAAAGCTGACAACAAAAACTAGAGGGATGAAGAAAAAACCAAGACATTCAATCCATTCATATAAAGTAAGATTGAAAGGTATTTTGATCACGGTACATCAAATCCCTGGATCAGGACAACATTTGCAGCAGTCGAACATCCTCCAAGACAGAGATATTGAAATCCAATGGCTGGGAGCCAAAGTGAGATGAACTCAGACACAGCGTTGGGTCTTGTTTTGCTCAAATAACTTACCTACACAGGTAACTGATTCTTTTGCTGAAGTTCTCAAAGCAAGACTTCCTTTTTTTCTAAAATGCAAGCTTAATTTCTTGACATTATGCTTCTGATGTTGAAATCAGTTGGTGATGTTTTATGACTGCAATATCCAGAAAAGCCATCAGATATGAGTTCCCTCTACCTTTACTCACAAAAGGCAAATGTGAGCCTCTGATGGCCCTTACCACTGAAACCTTTGTTTCAATTGCAAATTTGCCTTCTACTTCTTTATTCCAATACTGGTAGCACCCACTGTTTTTAAAGCAATCGTGGGTGCAAGCCTCTCTCCAAGCAGAACTGCCTGGCTCTGTGGGCAAACCTTTGCTTGCTAATTTGAATGACTTGGCACAAAATGACAACCCAGGAAGGCAGGAAGAACTGGAAGACCCACACTGCAGCCCCACTCCCCAGAGAGAAAAGAAAGGAATTGTGTCCAGAAGCACACGCAAAGAGGGACTAGGATGAGTAAATCAGCTGAATCTGAGGAAATCAGTGCAGCTGTTTGCTGGAAGCAATCACCCTTCAGATCCAGAGGTATATGCTTGAGAGACAGAGAGAATATGGCTTCTAAAGTTTTCATATGACCAACTGCTATACTAATGGAGAGTCAAAAGATCTTCAAATGGTTGCTAATGAAATACTAATGGTGGATGAAGAGCCAGAGGGGAAAAAAAGGCTCCTGGAGGAAAGCAGCCAGCCCCAGCTGCAGAGCTAGTGCAGACTACAGTGGCTTCCCAAAAGCCATTGTGGTGACCTGGTGTTTCAAAGCACTCAGATGCTGCTGGTGGAATGAATCTTGACAGTGGATTCGTCATGGAGAAGATTCAAGCTGATGAAATGACTCTTACAAGTGGTAGAACCCTACAGATTAAGGCAGGAGACATTCAAAATCTTGTGTAAAGCACGCTGAAAATTTGAACAGGTAACATATTTCAGAAGACTTGATTAAAAAAATAACTTAAGAACATACCTCAGAAATACATGCACAGAGGATTACCTTTGCTTCAGCCACCAGTCATTTGATGCTAAGTCTCACTAAGACTTTTTCACGAGAAAACTGCAATACATTGTGCAAGGCCACAATTCTCCATTTAGCACCAAAAAAATCCAGAGATTCTGCAAGAAGGATCAGACTAAGACTCTGGAAGAATGCATTTAATTCAGCTACAAGGAAGAGGGAAATTACATTTTTTAATGTGTTGTTTATTTACATTTTTAAATAAAAGGCCTGCTGTTGTAGTCCACATGTAGGTAGAATTCTTTTTTTAGAAGAAGGTGCCTCAGTCAGGACACCAGGACAAAAGAGAAGCAGCGTTCAGATATTTTATTATATTAAATCTTCCAAATGGAATTAGCAACTGATAAAACCACTCCCAGACGAATTCTTCTAAAATGAGGAACCTTTTTAAAACCTCAAACTTCAGTGCAAGCTCAGAGCATTTCTTTTACAAGCAGACTTAGAGCATCTTACATGTTTGTGAAAAGCTGCTCTTGTTACAGTAACTCTAAGACTTAGCTAATAAAGCCTCACAACTAAAAAGAAATAACCTAAATATGAATGTAAAAGAGCACACGCATTTACTACAAACAAACGCAACAAAAACCAGAGGTTTGTGCATAGAGCGCTAGCAAAACAGCTCCACTTGCTGCTTTAGTATCAAAGCACTGAGAAACAGCAACTTCCCAATCCTTCTCCAGGCATTCTCACAATGGGAGTGAACTGTGCATTTTAGCTCATTCTTGAGCATTTTGAACATGCAAATATCAAGAACTCCTGGGAAAGGCACTGCATTACAAGTATACTTGTAAGCACAACCCCCCATGCAATGTGTACTGTGCACCAGTGTATACAGTATAAATATGCACGTAAATTAAATTAGAAATCTTTCTCCTTTAATACAACTATGTTGGGTCTCCAATTTCAGCTCTCTGATGCTCTAAACATCTCTGAAAACATGACATTTGTCTTTAATACCAGCACAAACTTGTCCCAGCCAGTGCTGCTCACTGTGGGGACCTGCTGACAGCGTGGGATCGCCCTGAGGTCAGTACCAGGGCACTCTGCACCTTTCCTGCTGCCAGCCAGGAGGGACCACTGCTCCATCAGGCTCCACTCCACCTCCTCACACCACGGCTACATGCAAGGAGGGGTGAACAGAAAGAGCTGGAAAAGAAACAGCAGCTGAAAGAGGGACAAATAGGGCGTTCAAGATGCTGAAGAAGAGAGGAGGCAGCATCAGGCTCCCTTCCCCTAGAAGAGCTTTCACTATTGCCCCGCTCTCTGCAGCCACTGCTCCTCCAGTCTCACAACCCCTGCTGCAGGCACAATCTGCCCTTCAGCTCTGAACACTTCTTTACTTCCCCGCACATCAACGATGCTCCCAAGCCTTTCACTGCTCTCTCCTCCCCGCTTTCTTTCTGAAAACCAGAGCCAGGAGAGAGATCAGCTAGACAAAAACATACCAGTGCAAATGTGAAATTCAAGGCAAAAAAAAGTCTGTTGCTATTACTGGACATGCTGTAGACATTGTGCCTAGTAACTGTGACAATATCTAGCGCAAAAGAAACTTAGCATGAATCTTTTGTTTTCAAATGACATCCAACTCAAACATGCATAGGGAGAGTAAAGTTATTTTATTAAATCATGCACATCACGTGTGTTAGTGCAAATAGTTTAATCTGTACTCCAGAAATTCTATTGTATTTTTATATCTTTACAAAATAGATTTAAAACAATTATTTACTTTAAAAAATGTAATTCTGAAGTTAAGCATTTCAGAACAATATTTGCAATAACCTATATACAAGAGGTACTAAGTACCACTGGCATACGAGTGTTCTGTGGTTGGGTGGCTTCCTGCAACTGAAAAGGATGAAATGAATGAACTAAATGACAATATTTATTTTCTACAAGTCACTTGTGGACTATTTTTTCCAACTAATAATCCTCCCATTAGCAAATCCCATGTAACTTAAGATAGAACCTTTAATTAAAGAACAATTACCCTTAAAACCTCACAAAGTAAATTATATGCTAAATTTCTATTTAAATATTTAAACTATCTGCCGATTGCCATAACATTCTTTAAAGCCAATTGAATTGCTGAGGTTACCTCCCTATTTTGAAGTTTTCTTTAGCAGAGCCATTTTACTTTACCATTCTTTAGCATATTATTTAAGTCTGCAATAAACTTTTTTGACAGAACTGTTGAGCTGAACAAGACAACTACAGTCTACATTTAATTCAGCACTAACTACAGTGATTCCCACCAAAAGTCAGCAAATAGCAATATTTAGAGTACTTAGATAAGGAAAATAAACTTTGTAATGGGGACCACTGCATCATACTTACGGCCATGTGATGAGGATGCACAAAATTTTACTACCAAATTAAAGTCATCTTCACCTGCACCAGGTACGCGATTCCAATTTTGTAGTATTTTGTGTATCTTGGATTTTTTTTCAGCTAATCACAGACATACTGCAGCAGTTCTCTTAATAAAGTTACGTCAACAAAAGCTTATCTAAAGAGCTTCTCCAGCTCAAGTCAGAAAGTATCAAATGACAGAAAAAATAAATTGATACATGTGGTATGTGAGAAAGTATTCATACTTTTAAAGAACGCATCTCTTTAAATAGATGAAATTTAATAAATTACATTCAAACTAAAGTTAACGTAAGTTGAATCACTGCACTATTGTCCATCAAATGACCAAGTACTTGCTCCCAGAAATACCTTAGTTCACTCAAGAACACACACATGCTTACACTCGCACACGTGCACACTAAATGCTCTAGGCTGGTCTTCACCATCAATATCTCTATCTCTTTAAGGCTGGATATGAATTGTGTTTATTCCCAAAAATCATTAATAAAGCAATTCTTATCAAAGAAAAATACGCTTCCCTCAAAAAGCACGGTAAGAGAAGTTTTCTGAAGTCTTGTTCCCAACAGCTCAGTGACTAACAGCAAGTAAAATGGTATACTAATTAAAAAAAACCAAACCCAGAATTGTACTGAAAGGCACTGAGCACACTGCATCCGTTTTCCACGTATCTGCAAGGCTGCTTGGCTTGGGTGTCCAAATCAGAAAGGTGTTTTTTCTTTCAAATCTGGCAATCAGATTCTAAAGCAAGTGTCCACAACCCTAGCCATTATAAATAATTTGGTACCAAGAAGCCTACTTTAGGCCACCATTATAGTATTCAGAATCCCAACATACTACTTTAAAACTTGCATGAAATTGTAAGCAAAAATATTGCTCACAGTATGATGAATCACAATTTTATTCCCTCTTTATAGACAGATACATTTTATACAGTTTAAAGCAAATAACCCTACTGCTGTTCTCACGAAGAGCTGTGCTGTATTAAGAGGTAAAAAGGAAGAGAATTAATCTGTTTTCCCTCAGTATATGAATGTTGCCAGCTTCTAAAAGGAGGACGGTGTATGGATTCAACAACAGTTCTCATGGAGAAGCTCTGGTTAGGCCTGGGTACAGCACCACGGCTGTTACAGCAACCAAAGCTGCCATCACAGGCATCCAAGGCCATTGTCTCTGTGTGGAGAGAAAAAAAAAAATCAATATCATATTTGTTCTAATTCATACTAATCAGTTTACCCCGTGGTTCCTGAAAGTCCTGAGTACCTGTTGATAGGCATCGCTAAAATGTTACACATGAGCCCTACCCCAGGCTAGTCCTGACTTAGGGCATCACAGTGAACCACGTTTCTCTAGCAAAGGGAACGCCACAACTCTTCGTGACTGAGGATCACCAGGAGGACTTTTGGCAGTTCTGTATTTCCAGCTTCATCATTGTACGCACCTCAAAGAAATCTGCTATTAAACATGTGAGGGCTTATGATGTTTAAAACATCGCTTGTGCCAAGTAATTGCTAGACACATGTTTATGCAGTACTGACATCTTTAACTTAGATTTTAAATGTTGAAATCCAGATCTACGTTCGCAGCAGATCCTAACAACATCATTTCAAATGGATTGTCACAACATTTAATGACAACGATAGCACTTTAGGAGGAGGACACACTGAGAGACGATAGAGAAAATGCAAGCTGAGAGCTCAAAATACAAACCAACCACCTATTTCTCATCTCCTCTTTTTTTTCCCCCATCTTCTTCATAGCAATAGTGAGAAAAATGGAAGTGTTTAGAGCCAGAGAGGAATTTCTTAGTCCACAAGGAGGAACCAAAGCTTGCTGATTTTTATTATTATTTAGAGGCAAACTCTTCATTTTTCATAGTTAATTAAGCAATCAAGTTTTCTTACAGGCCCTAGCATCGCAGCATTGTGCAAAAGGTAGCCCATTCACTAAAGACAAACTGAGACCGAGTTAGAAGAGGCGCATTCAGAACAAAATTCATTGTTAGGATTAGAAGAATCACACAGATGTTAAATGATTAGTTGATTGCTCAGCTCATCAGTATCAACAGAATGGCATATTAAATGAAGGGTTTGCTTCAGGTAGAGGAATACCTGTGAGCATTTCACCATGCACTATTTTATACAGAAATGGCACAAACAGGTGAGAGGGACAAACATACATTGACTGAACAGTAGTGCTTGTACCTTTCGCTACCACAATGGGCCGTAACACCAATACAGGAAAGCCAGGATTAGGCCGATGAATACGGCTGGGACGGGTTGTAATATGGAAGGCTAAAGAAGGGAAGGGATATTAAAAATCACTTTGTGCTATAAATCAATCAGGTAAAGATGATTTAGAGAGGGGAAAATAAGTCAGTGAGGGTTTTTTTTAATTGAAATGTATTAAAGACATCTAACACAATACAGCATTATCTAATCTGGTATACAAAGTTAGTACACCACTCTACTCAAATGAACAGGGGTGTTTAAAAATAAAGGGAAGTATGCAGAAAATGTTCTAAGAAACCTCTTGTCACAACTTGGAATTTAGCACTTAAAAAGAACACAAATCTTAGAGGGATTTGCCTGTATCTTATTTATAGTTGGTTTTAGTTTTTTTAAGTGATAGGAAATCCCATCTGGATTTCTTAAGGCAGAAAGACTCACATCAGATACTGAATTTTTCAGCTACTTCTTCAATCCTCGCAAGTCAGCCTTTCCCATTTTCCATCACCAGGATAAACAATCTTTTTCCTCCATTAGTGAGTGGATTAAACTCTGTCCACAGGCAAACCCACTAGTTCAGACATTTCTGTGAGACTGTAACGTGACTGCACAGTCAACACCAAGTTACTGCAACGCTAGAAAGTCCATTTCTATTAGAGATACCACAAAGATCAGCATCTCTGGCAGGTCCTCAGCCTTGTGACCAAATGCAACTCTGAAAATCGACCAAATATTGTAGCTGGACCAAACTACCAGCTGGCAGGATTGCAGGGTTTGTTTAGCTTATGGCCTCGTTAGAACCAGCTACACATTTTGTCAGCTACATTCAACTAACTGTAAACCACTTCACTTTCTGAACGGACAGCCTCTACCCTTAAGATGATAAATTCAAAGCAAAAAAGGACCGTATTTCTTTTTAAGCTGTCCTTGGAAGACAGCTGCTTTCTCTGTATCCTAGCCTCTATATTCGTGCACACACACAGACACACAGAGGTTAAGCTCAAACCATGCTAAATATTTTCTTAAGAACTTTTTTGTGCTGAAGTCGCCTTGATTTAGTTCAGTCAAATAAATAAATAACAAGACTTTCTAAGACATTGTGATTCATAAATAAAATCTCATCCTGTTATGAATTTGAAGAAGTCATTTAATCATAGAACCTTCAATATGTTCAAAACAGGAATCTTAGAAGGTATTCTAGTATCTGCCATTCAATTAAAATTTGTTTTAATCAAGGCAAATATTTAATAGATAAATTGCGCATAATTACTAAAGTCATTTTCATGCAGGATTATTGTTGTGTCATTGGTGCCACAGATCAAAGTGCCACCTTCCCACAGAAAGCACATTGGTAGGAAAAAACCAATCACAGCAGTGTTCAAAAAAGTGCCAAAAGTTTAAGTCAACCAGAGCAGCGAATGTTCTCAAACCACTCACATGAAAAAATCTGTCGTATAAAGTGCATCAAGAAACAACCAGTAACTAAAAGCATGCAAGCACAAGTAGTACACCACACTGATAAGCGTGTCAGAACACTGGTTTTTCCTTCCTTTTTTTTTTAGTACAATTAAAGTACAAAAGCTTAATATTTAAATGATATCCCAAATGGAGTACATGATCCTTGTCTTTTCTAACATCTGTTAGTTCACTGAACAATTATATGCTGGGTTTTTAATAGTATTTTTTTAAGTTATACACATTCATGGCTGTGGCATCTCAGCAAATAAAACAGATTATAAATATCCATCACATTAAATGAAATTGCCTCCAAATGATTAAACTTTCTCCCTCAAAAACTAATCGATCTATAACGAATCTCCTTATTGTAGAGGAGTAATTACCTAGGTGCTTCATAAAAAATGTGCATCTTGCATTAGAATATGAAACTATGCAAACTCGGAGAAGGACTGCAAAAAGGAACAAATCCCACAGTGGGAAGTCACTTTCTGTGGGACACTGTCCTCGGAAATGAAGTAGCAGATAATGACTGAGCATTGTCCAGTGGTGCTTGAAAAATCTGACCTTGGGACTTAGTCCATGTACCCGTGATGCTTCAAATAATCCACAAGATAGATACATGTTTTACATTACTGATTGTGAGTAATGCTTTCTTGAGCAGCAAGCTTGTCCTGCAAGTCCTTATATGGCTGGATGCTCCTCATCATACCCTGACCTCCAGGTTTCAACTGTCACAACTAACTCCTCTGGAAGCAGATTTTGGCAACTGCTTTGGTTCCTGATTTCATTTAAATACTCACCTCAAATTCTTCCTAAAATTTCCTTTATCTTGCAAGCTTTTCCACTTTCATCAGGTGCTCATCAGTATTTCTTCCTTCTACTATTCCCCTCTTCCCACTGATCATTTTAATCCTGAGGTTGACATTTTTAACAGAGCAGAAAATCTCACATACACAATTATTTATTCAGTATGATCTCTTCTACTAGAATGGCAGTCTTTTGGTTGGTTGGTTTTGACTTCCACCTACTTTAGTAATTCAACATTATGCGAATACTGCAGGAGAATTCTAAGCAGGAAGCAGGTTTTATAGCAAGAATTATAACACCATATTCCTGAAAATATTGCTGAAAAAAATGAGATGGGCTTTGAATTCTTTACATCTTTGACAGCTCTACCATATTAAAGGTTTACATTCAGGATTTGGCTATGACAAGAGTATTCACATAAAACTTTGAGCATCTAGCAGCCAGCTGATTTTAGAGGATGGTATGTGTAAAACTTCCTTTGTAGTCAGAGAAACAGTTTTTTAAAAGGCTATTACAGAGCATCCATGATCCTCCTGCTTTGTACTGTCCTCTACAGGAGCTGTTCACCCTGCACTCATCATAGAGGCAGTACAGGAGAGACAATAAACCAGCCATCCCAATGGAGCAGGTATCTAAAATGAGGCTGTGACCACCTTATATTGTGTCTGCCACACCCTTAGCATTGGGAGGATTTCAGATGTCTCAGTATAAAAAAAAAAGTTGTCCCTAGCTATAAACTCATTTCTAATGATACAACCTCTCCAATTAATTGCAACAGAAAATAATATTTTCATTAGTGAATAGAAAATTCTGAAAAGGAACTGAAGTTTCGTGCAGTTCAACTGCACTGAAAGCACGAGTCAACCAGGGATAACCACTGTTAAGAAGCATGAAAAGAGTAAGGAGGGAACATCCATTGTAATAAACACTAATAAAATAAAAGCATCTTGAAAAAGGCTGCTTAATTCATTTGGATCCAGGTTTCTCAGATTTTACCGATGTATCATTCTCTCAAATGAAAAAAAAATTCCTTAGTTCTGGTGCTAGTATTTAAGCCAGATTCAAGAGAGCAGATATCTAAGGCTGTATTTAAAACTGTTCCACAACTGTAAATTGAACGTGCATGCGTAATTGTAACAGTGCAATGACCTGCAAATTTGCACAGGTAGTACCAGAATGGAATTTTGCATATAATATGGTAAACAGACCTTTTCTTCTTCAGTCTGTCCTTTCTGTTTGCCACTTACGTAGTCCCTCAATCAACAGAACTGCCAGTGTCATAATTTAACTGCCCGGCATATTTTGTACAGACTTACGTTGTTTCCTTTTTCTTGTAGCAGCTTCAGGTTTTCTTTACACTGTTTGAGTTCTTCTGTGAGTGACTGATTTTCTTGTTCAGCCACCTCATACTTCGCCTTCAGCTCTGAGAGCACAGTCTGTGTTCTTTCATACTAAAGACAAAGAGAAAACAGTCGGCGGACCCCTGGACACCCAACACATGCTTACATTTGCTTAGCACACAGCTTCCTTTCCTGTCATCTGCCTAGATTAACTTGCCTTGGATCAGTACACTCTCTTTGCATAAAAGCAGGGTAGGAAAATCTTAGATTTTCTTTTTTTCTAAATTAAGATTTTGTCTCTGACTTTGAAGGGCTAGGATTACTAAAACCAAGGAATTACGAAGTAAATGCAAGGCCTTAATTCATCTCTACTATCAGACTATTACTCATTATCGTATCAGAAAGGACTGTAAAAATTATGAAGACAAAACAAGAACCAGGGAAAAAACAGGGACTCTTTTACATTTAAATAGTGGTCTTACATCTTGGCTGTAGCTTAAATACCTACACCAATCAAATAGGTGCAAAGATCAACATTCTCAATTAGGTAAATCAAACCCTCTTCCCACACAGCAAACTCAAACATATGAATAAGAAAAGCATTAAAAAATATTATGCCTTATTACTATCATGCCATAATCCTCAGTGTGGGTCAAATACAAACAATACTGGGTGAATGTGTCTCATGTTCCTACAGTATGGGCATCGTCTCCTTATTCAAACTCACACGCGATTTTTTCTACAGATCACAAGCTTTCCAGTAGTCCTCATGACAAGGATTAGTAAGGACAGAACCAGTTACTTTCAGTACTGGCATTTACCACAAATGTAAAAGATAAGGCATCTTTACAAATGCAACTGATAATAAAAAACACAGACTAACAAGATTGGATTTTTCAAACTCTGAAAATGGTAAGGAAGGTGACATGGATTAATTAATGACAAAGCAAAGCAAAGGACTGCAAAAGAAAAAAGCAGTGACCGAGGAAAACGTCACTCAAAATACTCATAAGAGAAAGCAAGTAACTGTTGGAGGTCATGGCCTTCTTCCAGACAATCTTTAGAGGCAAAGCAGATGAAACACATGCTCCAAATGCCTTATGCACTTCACTTGTCTGAAGAGCTTAAAATTAAAGTCATTAAAGTAATTCATGAAAGTAAACTTTAGGAAGTTCCCACAACAAGCATAAGTAATTTTATCTGCAATCTTCCTTGTAGTAAATCTAAATCTCCCCCAGTTTATATATTAGTAGCTGCCATAAAAGTACTTGCAATAAACGTATAAAACATTTTCATTTCTAGAAATCTTATTTTTCCTTTTCATTTAGCTTAAAAGTCAAAGTCATTGGGCATTAAATTCTACCAAAACAGGAATAGCGTTCCATGTTACCTCTTTCTGAACATCTTTTGCTTGACTCTCAGCTTCACTGAGTTGGCTTTTTAGACTAGCTGCATCCCGTTGATGTTTTTCTCTCAAAGATCTCATCTGATTTTCAAGTTCCTTTCGAGACACTTCAAGAACACTTATATCGCTGGTTAGCGCTAAACTCTGTTTCTGAGAGCTGAAAAACAAAATCCAATTGATTCCCCATGAGTCTTAATTTTAAAGAAAAAAGAGATTTCTTCTAAAGCACTTCTCATCCTCCAAAGCTTCACACATTTATATTTAATACGGAACTATAATGTTAAAGCAATCACAGAGGTGCTGATAAACACTGTCTGACACACACACACACACACACACACACAGAATCGCTCGGTTGGAAAAGCCCTCTGAGATCATCATGTCCAACCGTTCCTGTCTACCCCCTAAACCATATCCTTAAGCACCTCGTCTACCCACTCTTTAAACACATCCAGGGATGGTGACTCCACCACCTCCCTGGGCAGCCTGGTCCAGCTTCTGACGACCCTCTCAGTAAAGAACTTCCTCCTTATCTCTAACCTGAACCTCCCTTGGCACAGCTTGGTGCCGTTTCCCCTTGTTCTATCCCCCATCACCTGGGAGAAGAGCCCAGCACCCACCTCTCTACAACCTCCCTTGAGGCAGTTGTAGGTGGTGATGAGGTCTCCCCTCAGCCTTCTCTTCTCCAGGCTAAACAACCCCAGTTCCCTCAGCCGCTCCTCATAAGGCTTGTTCTCCAGACCCCAGACACAAAAGGCTAGCCACAGTCGTGCTTTTGAATCCATGTGCACAGCTTAGTGTCTATAATTAGTTACATTCTAGAATTTAAATAATTTATACTTTATAATTTTTAGTTTCTTATTTTAGATGTTATTATTTACTACATAATTATTACATAATCCAAAGCATTTAAAAACAAAAAAGCATTTGAAATTTCTAACAAGAAGTCTGTCCAAGGTTGTTCAAAGTATTTAACTTTACACACACACTGCTTTGCTTCCTCCAGTTGTACAAGCTACTAGCTACTGTGATAGTCATAGAAAGCTCTCAATCAGGCCATTACGAACTTCAGTGCACCAACCAAGTAGTATTAAATCATGCCTGTGCAAGACAAAGAAAAATAAGGGAGAGACCTTGCATTTCTCCATTATGCAAATCCTGTATTTGCACAATGCAATACGAGTTCACATCAGGGCATGATGGAATGAAACAGAAAAGTTTGACATTTGTAAAATAACACATTACTTCTAAAATTACTTCCATTTTTTCAATTACATCTTACAACAGTGAAGAAGTCAGAAGAAAACAATAAGCAGATATCTAAGCGTGATGGTAAAATTCAGATCTAGAATAAGACAAAGCTGCTGTCCCATATTTACTTTGCAAATTAATTTCCACTATCTGAAACTGAAAACGATGTAATAATGGCAGATGAAGGGATAAGAGGGGAAGTTACTTCCAGGCAGAAGACTTAGATAGCTTTTGGCAATGTCATGTGTGTTCAAACAGTAAATGAAATACAGTAAAATTTATTAAAAAAATTTTAAAATTTAAAAAAAAAATACAATAAAAACTCCTGCACCCTAAAATCCCTCCCAAAAGGCATTATGGCGCTTGTAATGAATTGATTTGTGTTCTTCTGTTAAGCAAAACATGATCTAGAATACTGTTTCTGTCCATCATTACTGTTTATAACGCGACAGGCTTCCATGAGACACCGTAACATCTGAAACGGATTTTCCTAACTTAAAATTTCCCAGCCTTCAGGGTTGGAAATCTATGTGGTTTATAATCTTTTAAGTAGAAGGATAACTGAAGTTCAAATACTTCCACAAAGCACGCTTCCAAGTCCTTATTAAAAGCAGCAAAATAATTCAGGTTCCATTATGACAATGTAACATGACTGGAAAATAATTCAGAAGCACTTGCAGAATAGAAAAAAAAAAGCTTAGTGTAACATTTTGGCATGAAAGTGCATTCTGCCCAATAAATAAAATTTCAGTACATTCATTGAAACACCATCAGACATTTAGTACCACTTTTGAGAAGAAAAGACAACAAAAAACCCCTCTTCAGCTACTGTGATACTTTCCACTGTTCTCGTACCTAGAAAGCTCCTTTTCTTGTCGCTGAAGCTCAGATGTAAGCAAAGTATTTTCCTTCCTTAGTGTAACACATTCAGCTTCCAGAGCACTCCATTCTGCCTTCAGCTTTTCAAGTTCGCCTGCAATGAATAAAAATCAATTGAATTGAGTAAAATTATTTATGTATCAGCAGCTAATAAATAAAGGACAAGCTGGTATCAGTCGTAAATCTCAAACATATTTGATTACAATCATGTCACATGAATTCTCTCAAGCACCTGTAAAGCATTACAATATCTTCCACTGTTACAAGGTTTGTGAACCATTAAAGAAGCTACTGCTTTGCTTTTTCTTTTTTTTACTGCTAAGGCACAAAGGAGTAGAACAGAGTCTGTTTATGGGTCTATTCTGGAGTTTAGGAACAGCAACAATAAAGTGTATTTGAAGAAACTGATTTCCCAGACTTGAAAGCAGCAAACTACAATCACAGATACCAATGCCTCGCCTACAAGGAACAGAATGTTTAAAGCAATAACTAAAGGGTGAAAGGGAGACCTTTGAAATAAATCAGTCCCTGGTAAAAGAGATAAAAATTAATGTTAAACGCATCTTAGTAATACAATGACAGAGACTGGAGTTTGAACTGGAAAAAGGCTTCTCTTACCAATTCATAAAGATCAATTGATTCAGGATTTAAAGCACATTTTATATAAGCCAGTTTCTCTGTGGCATGTACAAAGTTTCAGCATGAGCTTTTCAACTCTATCGGCAGATTCTCCAAGACCTGAAGCTATAGGCCTGGGGGAGTGGCTCTCAAGCAGCCCTCGTGACATGTGGGTGCATTACAGGTAAAATGAAATGCAAATGAATGAGACTAGAAGAGGCCCTGTGCTGGCTTAGCACAACATATTTGTGCATCTCTACGTCATACATCCAGAATAAAGCTTCAGTTTTCAGTTTAACATTTTTATGTTAAAATTCAGATGGTATCAAGAGTTCTATTAAGCCATAAAATACAGTTATTTGTCTTGAGTGAAGCTACCAATTTACAGGCTTAAATTATACAGAAGTTACACAAATCCTTTTGGAAATCTGTGGCAGTATCAATCCCTCAAACAGTACAAGATGTCCATCTTTTCTAAGCGGAATTATACTTGGTACCTCCGCTAATTTAGGCACAATTAACAATTACTATTTAAGGAAGTAAACAGAACAGCTTTTGTAGCAGTAAGAGCCTTGATACACATGTGAACATATATATAGACATAGTAAATGACTGCAGACAAATAGGGCTTTGAATAATTGGTGTTCACCTGATTGAGAGGGATGCTACTGTTAGCACTGGTCTGTGACATCCTTTCAACCACGTACCTTTTAAGCGAGTAGCCTCTTCCTTCTGCTGATCCTCACACTGCTGACATCTGAGCTGAAAACTGGCTTGCAGACTGACAATTTCCTTTTCATAATCTGAGGCATCTTTCCGCCACCGTTCAAGTTCCGCTCGCACTGACTGCAGCTCACTTTGCAATGCAGAAATATCCGTATCCCGTTCTGATGCTGTCTTTTCTGCTACTTTCTGAAGTGACAGAATCTCATTCTGAGCACTGACTAGTTCATTTCGAGTGCTCGAAACCTCACTTTCCTTTTCCTCACGAAGATTCTCAATCTCTTCTTGTAATCTTCGCAACTGAGCTGGAAAGCAGATAGTAATGTTAAATATTTTTTAAAACTGTATTTACAGAAAACCTAAAAAATGTAACTCCCTTTCTCAACTTGTTCATGTTTAACAGGACTAAAGAATCCTAATGACATTGAAAAAATATTAATTTCATCAAATGCTGTACCCTTAGAGCCATGTGTGTGGGGTCACGTACTACAGAGTCAAAACAAACAAGAATTAAGGTTGGACAAAGCTTTCTTAGATAGGATTTTGTTATGTTTGTGATACTAAAGTAACTCTCCAAAATCTGAAACCAAGATTCAGATCCAACCTCACTGTACACAAAACAAGAATGACAGAACAAGGACACTGCAGGGTTCAGGGGTTACTTCTTTGGAAAAAGCATTTTTCAAAGCTCAAGATTAATTTTGAATCGAAAGGGATAGCTGCACCAAACATACTGAACTATAAGCTGTCCTTTAGCATTTATAGTTTACTGTAAGTGTGCTGCAGTCACACAGACATTAGGCTTTTTTACATTTCTGCATGAAGTAAATCTTATAAATTATTTCCATTCAGAAGTGTTCCATTACTAAATACATCTGTTCTCCGAGCACAACACAAACACATGCAAAGAATCCAGTGCAAACAGTTGAAAAAAGAAAGAGTGCAGTACAGAGGAAAGGGAAGTACGAAAGAAAGAACAAAATTATAGTTAAAAACCTGACTGTTGGAAGTGTTTAATTTGCTCAGCATTTTTGTTCTGCTATTTAAAGAACACATACGAGAGTTGCCATGTATTTCATTGATTAACACAGGAAAAAGCAATTACTAAATTAATGAAGAACAGCTCTGAGAAGAAAAGTGTGAAGTTCTTAACTTCACTTGAAAACTTAATATGAGAAAACATAGAGGGTCAGAATTGCACATTTGAAGTTCTCTCTTTCCAAAACAATATGTTTCCATTACAGAAGATGATACAGAGAATGTACGAGAGTTGTGCTGTAAACTGATACAGCATAAAAACCATGCAAGAGAGACTTGCACTTTCATGACAACTATGCTTGATGGTTTCCAGTAGCTGCCTATGCTGTCATGTAGGTAGAATTCATACACAGGTACAGTCTAGAAACGTAATTGAGGTACAGTGATGAAGAAAAACGCAACTATTTTTCCCATACTCTAAACAGGCTCCAGCAAGAATGTATTAATTACCCAGTTCCACTCTCAAGGAAGAAGATAGCATGGGAAAAAAACACGATAGTTACTATATATTGTAATACGTAAGAGCTATTACAGATAACAGTAAACTAGACTTCACACCAATTCTGTATAGGTGAAAGTGTCTCTGTTCCACTACAAAGACATTTGCAGCATGATGGATTTTTAAATGCATGTGAGCAACATGAGGCTTACGACCACCTCATCTGTTCACAAATAATTTCTACAGAGAAAAGGTATACTGAAAGAATAGCAAAGTAGTAGATGAAAACAACCTAACAGCAGTACGACCATATCTTCTTGATACAGTTTTCTTTATTAACCCAAGCTAAATTCCTGCTTCTCAGTAACAGCAGTATTTCAAGCAAATTGGTTCTTTCGCTCCATCTGCATTGCTGATGAGCAACTCTCCCTTTAAACATTCAAGCATGAAAACATGCATGGTATGACTGAAAATCCAAACACGTACAAATATTTCTGAAGTTTAATGGAGTTGAAGAAATAACTTACACAGAAATGCAATTAAAAAGAAAACTTCCATTACATCTCTTATTTATATAAGCCATTACCTCATCTAAACGGAATGTGGGGTCTTTTTTGGTGTTTTGTTGCTGTTGTTGGTTTTGGTTTGTTTTTTTTTTAACATAAGTAATGACAAGTTACTTGAATTTCCTTGCTAGACCCATCCAGACAACTTTTCCCAAGTTGTGAGATGAGTCACACACAAAGTTTGGGAAGCAGCAAGCATACAAGACACACCAGAACACCATGAACAGGAGGAAACATAAGCAAGAAAGACCTCACTTGAGAAGGGTTCAGGAAACAAAAAATGTACTGAATTGACAAGAGGCATCTTGCAGTTAAAACTTGCAGTTAAGTTTGGCTCTGTCAAGGTTCTACTTTGATTCTCTTTTTGGGAGGAAAAAACAACAAACTTTTTTCTACAGAGAAAAAGCATCAATTCCTAATTTCTAATTTTTGCTACAGTATTTTTTCCTTGGACAATTTTCATTATTAGCAGGCCAAGATTCGAAATTAAATTGCTCCTCTTGTTCTGAAGACGGTTATCACATAAGCTCTTCTTTCTTACAGGCACAATGGCAGAAAACCTCAATATTCTTTGCTGACATTCATATAAAACAGCGCTGTTATACACGATTCTCAGTGCATCTGCTATACAACGAGCACTGCACTCCACAACAAACCACTGCTCGTGCAGTGATTTGCTAACGCTATTTTGGTTCCCTAAGTGAGGACTGTCAGTCCATCTGCCTGTCTGCTCATCTGCCTTCCAACCATTTTTAGGTCCAAACCAAAAGATATGCTGACAAAGATACCAAGGGATGAAGCTCCTACAAGTTTCATAACAATCAATAGCTGACTAGATGTTCGAACGAGTGCTCGCTCTAAGGAAGAGTCATAATATAACCTATACTGATTTTAAGGCTAGGCAGCCTCTTGGCCAATGTGCTCACTCCCATGCGTAGGCTGACAAGTTAACATGACACAGAAGTTACCCAAATCACAGGATTCCATTCTGCTCTAATTATTTTGGACTCAAAAGAGTATGATTGGTCATACTGTTCTTTCAAAAAGCATAGTGTCTCTGTTGCAGAAGTTTTATTGCATGCTCCAAGGTTGGATGCAGATCTGGAGTGATTAAGAGGATTCTACCAATGAAGAGACTCAGTAGCACAAAAAAGATTTAACCTTCCGGAGTTCTCTGCAGATCAAATAGTCACACTAAGAATCTCTGAATCATTCAAAGCCTGGAAAGACTGAAGAGACAGGGAGAAGAGGAGGCATCTGTTACAGATGACATCTTTTGCATTTTCATCAAGTTATGATGAGAACCATAGGAACTGACAAGAAACATTTCACTATAAAATTCAAAGATATGGTGAAAGAAATCAGATTTTAAACATAAACTCAATTAACATTTTCCTTTCTTAGTGCTTATGACACCATGGAAACAGCCAAAGCTATGTATTTTTTCCTAAGAGAGTGGGTGAAAAAAAATTCCTACCTTGCAGCACATTTATTTGCTTGTTGGATTCTTCAACTTGCACTCGATATGCTTTTCTCTCTTCTTCCAATAGCGCTATAAATGAAAGTGAAAATGCACACGAGTTTTTGTTAGTAAGAAGTATTTCTGCTCTGGAACTAATTTTAGTCACAACTTCTCCTTAACTTAAAAGATTTAAAAAATCGTATTATTTCAGTAAGTTATCAAAGCTAGTAACCGTGTAAGTAGTTTAATAAAAAGTTAATATAAAGACATCATTCCGTTACTGTGGTAGTATTACGATTAATTTGAAATTAATGTAATCTGTTGCCTGATCCAAAAACTCCATGTGTGCTAAATGCAAACTGGGATGGGAGGAGAAAAAGAAATAAATTGGTATATATACCCCATAAAGAACACTGAACAATACGCAATTAAACTGGACTGTGTCCTTGCTGCCAAAAACAACCCCCAGTTTGCTGAGGATAATGATACAGCCACATATCTGATAGGATGATCTACAAAAAAGAACTACCACCGAATACATTATGGGCATTATTTGACTGAAATACAGATGAATCAATACCTGTAGATGAACATATTTAATAAGGATGAGATATATGGAGTTCAAGTATTTATTCAATACAATGAAAATATGTTGGTCTATCTTGAACTGGGAAGTCAGAGTTCAGTCTGACTGTAAACAGGGTTCAGAAAAAAAGCAAAAGTTTCTGATATTCTGTGCAGGAGATGTAAATGCTATGAAACAAATTTATCTAGCAGTCAGTCAGCAAAACTGGACCCCCTTTTGAGACTGATAAATACAATTAAAATTGCATGTATGTACCCTACACAATCAAGTTGATCTGGGTCTCACCTTGAAGTTCAAAGCATTTTTGTTTACTTGTCCTAGCTAGCTCTTGGGCTTCAATCAGCTCCTTGTGCAGCTGCTGAATTTCTTGCTTAGTCTCAGTCTCTGACTGTGCACCCTGCAATTCATCTGATAAAAGAACATAGTCTTTAAATCATAAATTTGTACAACAGTTCAATTTGCACTGCCATGTGATGACTGGAGACTTTCTATTCAAATAATCTGAAGTTAGTTAAAGTAACTCAAAATGGGATTAGGTGAACATTAGCAAAAATATTAATATACTTTTAAAAGGAGGAAAACATATGCAAACTTAAAAACACTATATATAACATGCAGTACAAAACAAAAACTACCAAACGAGAATTAGAGAGTTTTTAAAAACTTCATACAGATTACCAACGATTTCTAGATTGTCAAAACTGAAGGAACAACAAGCATAAGGCCATCCTTGACTGTGTTTACACAACTTGTCTGTTTTCAAAAGGAAGCCACTCCAAGCATCTCTCCCAGCACACACCTACCAGCAAGGACCCCGCAACCCCTGCCTCCCGCACCCTCCCACCCGCTGTCCCACTCCTAGCGGACAGCACCAGCACACAGACAGGCCCAGGCCCGAGGCTGGCAATGCCAGCCAGCTGCGAAGATGATGTAAAGAGGGAATTTAAAAGCGGAAAAAAGAAGTATTTGTAACTAAGAGCAGTGTTCTCTAATGGGCACACACTAGAGACTAGGTGCAGTAACAAAGAGAAAGAAAACGCTCTCGCCTGCAGGTACCTAACAATGCCAGGAACTGGATCCAGGAAACTCTCACTCACTAAACTTTCCTCAAGTAGTGTCTGTGTGAAAACAGATCTTTCAATAGGCACAAACAGCACTAATAAGCTATATAGAGGTAGAGGGCTGTAAATTTATATAAAGCCTGTTAGGTGAGTAAAGTGAAGGAGGGAAATCAGTGAAGAAAGTCCAGCTGTACATCTTGGGAGGGAGAACAGAAAGGTAGATGTGATACCCTGGTTAATAAACTGGTTAATAAACGTCTAGCACTATAGACCATATGGATTTAAGATAAAGGCCTGCTGCTTAGGACAAAAGCCCCAAAAGATAAACTGCTATGGTTGTCTGGACCAATAAGAAAAATAATAAATACAAGCTATAGTTTAGTTTGTCGTTATACTCTTGACATAATTTTTGATTTGATATGTCAACAATAAAGTAATTTTTTTTTTGCTCTTTTCCTTATTAAAGTAATTGTTTAACAAATAATGCTGAAGTATTCATTCTGTATCCCTCAGAAAAGAGGCTAAGTTCTTCCTGTTCTCACAGTAATGAATTGGTGGGATTGAGGAGAGCAGAGGACACACTTGTGCTTTTAGACATATTCAGAACAAAATTACGAGAGCAGAAAGAACAAAGAGGACTATGTATTTCATCCAAATACTTTCTTTTACAGTTTATTAGAGTTCCAAATTCAAGTTTCTCTTTAGTGAACATGTTTTGTTCTTAGCTTCTCATGGATAAAGACTTGGGGCAATTAGACTTTCAACCCTCCTTAATGAGACTGTTCAGGAGAAATGGATGTGGAAGTTGACAAATTACGCTCAAATGAGGCCTGATAAAGCAGCAGTATCTCAAATCCAATAGCAGACACCCTAAATGAACTTTCTGGTAGACAGTATTTTCCATTCAGTGAAAGCACACATCATAAAAGATAATACTGCTTCAAAGGAGATGAGGAACTCAACTCATGAGATAAAACAATTAGGTTTGCAAAGGCACAATCAAGGTACAAACTCTCTCCTGCTCCAATGCAACAGGGGAATTTTCACATGCCTGACATGCTTCTGAAAGCCAAGAAATACATGCAAATAACTTTTCAGTCTTACCCAAACTGAAATGTTATTTAATGACTTTTAGTTCAAAGCAAACATTTTTGTCCTAACTCCAGTTTTGGGGGAAAAAAAATAAAAATATATACTTAGTGAGTAGGATTGCTCTATTTATAAATAATAAAACTACCATTATCATCAGGCTTAGAATGAGTCCCCTCAAGACGCAAATCACAAAAACCTGTTTTGAGAAGCAATTTTGTTTCAGGTACATGATGGAGGTTTTCTTTAACATCAACTCTACTGATAGATTTAAATTTGATAAAAAAAAATTACCCTGATCTGTACAAATTGTTTTCAAAGCACAAAAATTTATTCTCCTTCAACCTGGCCCAAGAAAAGGAGTCTAACCCATGGGTCGGTTTTGAGGAAAAATGACGATTTCCAAACCATTAAAGAATATAACTGTGTGGGAAGGAATTGTTTGCATTTTTAAGGTCTATAAAATAAAATTTCATTAGAACCAAAAGAAAAACAAAGCTCAGATTAAATTAATATTTACAAACAAAGATATTAACAGAGCTCTACTTATATGTTTGCCTTTACACTTTTGTTAGAGATGACACAGAACACCACACAGGCTATGGTCTGAATTGCTCCCTTATCTGTACGAGCTTGGCCTGCAGAAGCAACTCTATGAGGAGGCTGGTGTTTCTCCAGGCCTCACAGCAGCTCACTGTCAGAATTCTGCAGGATTTCTCAGGTTATTCCGATTACTGGTTTTGGACTAGTCAGGTAAAGCCAGACAAACAATTAAAACCCTGAGTCTTCCTCAGCTTCGTAAGATGCATGCAAAGTAAACTGTGTTATAAGTTTAACATAAAGTATTTGGCTACTGCAACATAAATCAGTGGTTCCCAAACTTTCTGAATGAACAGAGCATTGCTGATTTTCAGAGTTTCTTACATAAACTACCACTATTCAGCCAACCCTCAACTGAAAACACTTTTTATTAGGATTCCATGCATCAGTTTTGTAGTTACTATGGAAATATAAAGAGGCTGATAAGAACAAGGTAAGTAACCTCCCAATGACCTTTAGAGCTTCTTTCCATCTGTTTAACGTTTACCATTTTTAACTTTGCAACAAATAGTCACAAAGAGCCTAAATAGAACTGCCCAGGGAACTGTTATTAGTGGCTAATAAAGTCGTTTACCTTATGGGTGGTGGAGAAAAAAACCAGCAGTTCTGTTAAGCTGTGACAGCTTTTCCCCTTCCTCTCTTTGCCACATTCTGACTTACAGAAAGTTGAAACAAACCCTGACTGCACTGAAAATTTGATAGCAAATACACTTGGAAGAAACTACAGCAACTAAAGGTCTCCTCATTTTCTTGTTTCACGACTTTGTTTGGTACATTCCAACAGCTGAACAAAGAGGAAGGCTGCCTTCTCCAGCAGCCACTTCCACATTCCAAACAGCTGCCAGATCAGAAATGTTCTCACTCTTCCTTAGTTATATGGCTGCATAACAAAGCCACTTGAAAGTATGTGGCAAATAAGATCCTTTTTTGGGCAAAGTCAGGCATCCAAGTAGCTCACTGACAAAACCTCAACAAACCTGTGGGTTTACAGGCTCTTCATAAAAATTGCGAGCACAAATGATTCACTGTGCAGATATTTTCTAATGGTTTCATGAGAGCAAAATAGTAATGCCCATAAATAGCTTCAAGGGAAAAAGAGTTATTCCAATTATTTTAGTTAACTACAATATGTAATTTAATAGCAAAGCAGTTTATGCAAATAGGTATTTTTCTACTTAAACACTTGAAAGCTCAGTAATGGTTATGGTTTAAATCTTCAGCTGGGTAAAGACGGATGAAGCAATGAGAACATCCACATTAGCACAAGACTGCTTCCATGTTACCACAGGAACTTGATTTTAGGCCCTTAAGAATTCAGTTAACCCTCCCTGATAGTTTAATATACCCTGAACAGAGAATGAATATACTTGCTATTAATTGCAGACATTAGAGCAAAACCAAAATGGAACAAGCTCAGTATCTCAAATGCTCCTTTTTAAACTGTTTTGCTGAATTGACATGCCCTGGAAAATATCAAACTCGATTTCAGTTTTCCTGTTTGGGAACATACATAATACATGCAATTTGTGGAAGTCCTTCTATCATAAAATGAGATAAGTATAAACAATTACAGAAGAAAGCTCTTCTACAGGTCTCCCAAATCTCATTATGGCTTCCTGTCTTTCTGAACCATGAAGAACGGTGACTTTCCTTTTACTGGTGATCCCACCGTTATCATTTACAGATCTTACCAAACGTTTAATTGTACATAGAGCACAAAATTAACTTTCAGTGTGTTAAATGTAACAACTAATCAATATCCGACAAACATGTTCAGCTCATGAATATGTAAATATTAGCTTGCTAATCAAGTTTTAAGTAAATTCTTTCAGTGCAAAGAGCAGTAAAAAAAAATTATCGTATAGCTCTGAAGCTCAAAGCTAAGGCTCAGCAGTCATTCTAAACACAGTTACAACAGGAAATTCAGACCTTGAGTGTGTTCAAAATAGTTTTTAACCCATCAGATGCAAACTAACAGAAGCATTTCTGACAGTGGTGAAAACTATATGAGTAAAATTTGGCAATGCTCAAAGTACGTCAGTGATGGAACAATCCCTCCTCCCACAGCCCTAACTGAAGTGTATGCAGAAACTATTTCTCAACTTTACTTGAAGTTAGAACATGTCAATTCCTTAGGACAGTGTCGGTAAGTGGAGGAAGTACCTTTAAGCACGAATTATTTCTATGCTAAGACTCAGAAGTATGCTTTTATATCACATCACCAAAAGGAACCATTGTTGATATTTAAATGCAATTCTTCCATACTATCATGATTTGAATTTCAGAACTCTACTCCAATGCATATTTGATAAAAAACAGGTAGACAAAAAGGTATACATACAGACTACGCATCTGAAGTTACAAAAACAAATGTTTACCTTTGAGAAGAGCTACTTTAGCAATAGGTTCGTTTAGATCTTGGTCATCCATTTGGGCATCTAAAAAAAATCCCACACCTTTCAGAGAGCAGACCGACTGCAGACAGTTTTCATATACACATTCTCTAAGCAAACTGAAGCTTTTACATTCCTCTCTCTTTACAATAGTTAATTATGAAGTTGCCAAATAGATAATACTGCTTTAAGTCTGTATCTGACTCCACATAATTTACACGACTCTTTTAGAAAGTTAGTTAAATCACTTAATCATAAGCAAACTTATTAGATGATACAGAAACTCCAGTTATACACTTACCAGTAGTGTCGTCACTGCTTTTTTCCTTGCTTGGACTAAGAGTGTCTGACAAATCAGATTCTTTGACTCTTGCTTGATTCTCTGTAAGAGACAAGGACAATCACCTACAATCAGAAAATGCTTTCTTGAGTTTCTTTCTATTGCTAAATGTCGACAGGAAACTGCATAGTTGAAGAAACACTTAAAAACCTGGTGGTTGCTTATTTCTTCGTAAGTCTGGGCTAAAATGGATTCAGCATCCCTAAAGTCATTAATCAAGTCCAGCATCTAATAGGGAACGCAACTGCCTCATGCACAGCTTGAACTTTTGTTAAAGCTGTATTCTTGCCAGCTGGAACTTTGTGCAAAAGCTGATTCAATCAGGGAACAAAGAAGAAAAGAAAACTAGAACAATGCAGATATTGTAACAAGTCAGAAAAAACATGCTGTTAAGAATAAAATCATGCTTCAGTATTCTGGACAAATAAAATAATAACAGCACGTCTTGTATATACTGTAGTGTCAAAAAAAAAAGTGATGTATGAACCAGTAAAGAAACACAGCAATATAAATTAATGCACTAATTTTTAGACAGAATTTTCAGTTCAAACTGTATTAAGAGAAGGCAGTCTATGTCTTCCCACCAAAAAATACCTCAATGAAATACCTGTCCGTGCACACCTCACCACACTATTACACGCAGCCTCTTGAAGTCACACAGTTGTTTTTGTTTCACTTCTTTTTACCAGTTCTAGATTTTTAATGGAGACCAGATGATTTTAAAAGGTGAGAGAACTTAATTATACCAGTCCATCCATTTCCCACACAGAAGCATCCCTGACTAAGAGTCTAAATACTTTATGAAGCTGTAATTTTAATTTTTTGCAATAACCATTCCAGTTTAGTTCTGATGGGTCCATTAAACAGAGGCACGCCATCGCTGGTGTGGACAAATCCAGTGACTTTGTCAGCAAGGAACCATGTCACCTGCATCAAGATGCAGATGAGGTTGTACGTAACGAAGTCTTTCCCGGCTGACTACACAGAGCCTTGGTTTGACAGGATCACTGCCCACCCACAGACTAACAGAGTTTTCCTCTAAGTCTCAAGTTCAGGTAGATAGCTAGATATCAAATGGCATGATTATAACATGCCAAGTAGACAGATTTCTATTCCACCATACACACAGAAAAGCATGGTAAACACAATTTCCTCACATTTAGATACTGTAGATGCAACAAAAAAGTACCTGGACATGGGAAGAAAACCACAAAACAACAAATAAATCAAGTGTGTTACACCACCAGGGTTAGTATGTGAAAGTATGTTAAAAAAACAAAGTAGTAGTGAGAAAGCTCATGAGCAGAGTTTTTCAAACAATGAGAACAAGTAGAACTAAACACCCTCAAAATGAAGCAAGCTGAGTGGAAACTGAAGACAACCCATGCACTTACACTGGGAAATCAGCAAGATGACAAAACACAGACAGGTGAATAGAAAAAAAAGTTTTCTTCATCTAACATGGCAAGTTTCCTATTACTGTGTCAGAATAACATCCACTTGTACAGGAAACAGAAGTACAAACAGAGCAGATGATCGAGAGTCAGACTCTTCCTATCTTAATGTAACTGAGAGCACTGGAGAGGGAGAAGGGGAAAGCAGCCTTGTACTCAAAGCGCATTAGGAGTTCAGAACTGGCAGCTATTCCAAACACCTCTCATATCACTTCAGCAGACTTCAAAGCTCACAATGACAGCAGCAGTTAAAAACTTGAGGTCTGGGGGTAGTTCTTCGCTAAAACAAAAAGGCTACCCCCTTATTTTTAGGAATAAGGTTTTTAACTAATACCTAAGAACGTTAAAGCAGAAAGCATTTTACATGTATCCTATAGAATCAAGCTCACACGACTGCCATTAAGATTGTAATTACTAAACCAAATAACACATTGTTTTTAAAGTATTAAGAAAAGTATATCCTGAAAGCCTCACCCATGTCGTTTACGTTAGTGGCCAATCCAGAAGTGCTAAGCTGAGCAATATCTGTATCCAACTCACTTTACCATATCTGGTCATACATGGAAACACAGCTCTCCTGCTCAGTGAAAAATGGGAGGAACAGTGCAAGTTCCGACCACTGAATTCTCTCTCTCTCTCCCCACCTCCCTGCCGTACTCCTCTCCCACTCACTCTCGGGTACACCAGCTTATTCCCCCCTCCTGTCCTCCTCCCCCTGAAACAAGAACAAGATCAGGCACTGGAGGAGAGATGCATCATTTTCTACATCTGAAACTGCAGCAAAGAGAGAATGGTTTAGAAACTTGCTTCCTACTCTGGAAGCAGAGTCATAAGCACAAAACTCTTTCCTGTTCTCCATTATTTCACAGCAGTTGTCCCTATTTCCCGTAATAAAACTGAGCTGAACAAATATAGCCAAAATGATGAAGTATATTAAAATGTGTTGACATCATACTTACATGATGAGTTAGAATATATTAACAAGCACTAATAATAGCTCACTGCTTTGCAAGATAACTGGCATGCAAGTGTTACGTTACAGTTATTGTATGCATTCTTTAGCCAAATAAGGCCCGTTGTCTATAGCTTAGTCACGTACAGAAACAAATTAAAGGTGCGATTTCATACATTCAGGTAAGAGAACATGAATTGAAACGTCTCTAAAATGCCAGAGCTTTTAAAAAGGTAACATTTATTCAATACAGTAAGACTTTGCAGAAGGACAGCGGGTTAAGAAACGAGTTAATATGTCTAGACATGAATAAAGTGGAGTCAGCTTACAAGCGTGAACAGTCTTACGTTATTAGACACACAGAAAATGCTGATTTATACACTTCGTAGCATTCTTGACTTTGGTACTGCAAGACAAGGACGACTTAATTGATAAAATGAGTGTTTTCTAGTTAACTTCTTGTATTTTACTTGTTTTATATGGATGAGAAAAAGGTTAGAGATGCACATTTATACCGCACTTAGAAAAGGTACATTTAGGAGGTTAATAGTTATTTTTAAGTTATACGGATGTAGGAAAGAAAAAAGTCAAATTAAAATACACTTTTTTTTAAAACTTAAAATGGGACCAAACATTATTTCTATTCAGTCCCAGAATAAAAACAAAACCTTGTTTGAAATGTATGCAGGCACTAAAGATTTAAATCAATTTACAAAAACTATTATCTCTTAACTTTATTTTCTTAAATGCACATTCAGGTAAGAACTCAGACAAAACTGAGACCAGCATTTCATGCACTCAGTCTTCAAAAAGCTGTTTTTTAAAAACCTTTTCACCCTACAACGGTATTTGGAGCAGAGTTGAGTAAACAATATACCTTGCCCTCATTAAATTTTTTATTAAGTGTGTATTCAACAAAACTCAAACTGCCAGTTTAGAACATGCACTGTGACATTAAAAACATGCTTCAAAAACAGTTAAATAATCCAGAAGTCTAACCTTTCAAAAGCTTTGTTTCTTCCACTTTGGTTAGATGTCCTTCATCTATGATCTTGTCTGCCAAACAAAATAAGTGTTACTTTCCAAGCTCAAATGAAGCAAGCTTTTCCCTGCACACATCTACGCAGAGCACATTCCATGACCAAATTAAAAGCTGATAATATTACTTCCTACTCAGGCTTGAACAAAAACTTCATTCTGGCACAGAATAAAGAAACAGAGCACAGAGACCTACTAGAACTTTCTGATAAAGCGCATAATTGTGTCTTCTGCAATTTATTAGCTGACATTATTAATGCTTCAGTTCACTAATGAGAAGTTCGGAAAATTAATTTTTATAAACTTTTTTTTTTAATCTAACTGGGAGCAATAAATAATTAATACACTTCTGAAGTTATAGTTATAAAAAAATAATTCTAAAAGCTGATTGCCTGAAACCGATGTCCACCAGACACCAGAAATCTAGAAATATGCCACAGTAAGCCAGCAACTGAGAAGTCGGCTCCACATCACAGCTACTTTAGTAGTGTCTACGAAAGGCACACAGAAATAGCCTTTCTCAGCTTAAAACTTTCAGAGAGCTGCACAAACTTCCAAAAAGTTGGGCATGCATCACATTTGGGTTCACAAAAACCGAGTTTACACATAGCATTGACAGGGAAGTCTATTACATAAAAACCTAAAACATGCAATTTGAGACTACATTGCTCGCTTCATCCTAACTCCAGCTAGGACAGGAAGGCAAACTGTAAGACCAAGAGAACCACAGTTTGGATTAATCAGACACTAAAAGAACGGCTGAACCTCTAATTAATTATTTTTTGGAGGAGATTTCAATATTTCAAATTCCTTAACAACCACGCCAACATGCAAAATCATTGAGGGTCACAGATCTCACAGATCACATCAGAGATTTCTATGCAGTAGCTCTTGCAGTTCAGACAATCCCAAAAGCTGTTAAGACCCACTGCAACGCCTGCACTCTCCCTGCAGGGTCCCTGACGATCAGGAACCCAATTTGCTGGTTACGCCATGTGCTGAGCTGCAGAGAAAACTGGATGAACGTGCATACAGGAGAGTGCAGATTAACAAAGCCAGATGACAGTAAATCCTTTTCAAATTTTTAATTGGAAAAAAAAAAAATAGTGAGCTTTAGTCAGCATTTCCAACTTCAAGTAGTTCTGAAGACTAAGAAGTCTGTGCACTCCTCCGATGACATCTTGCTGTAACGATGATAATTTAAGGACAGAGGCAGAGCAATGTTTGCATGGAGATATCTTTCCAACCCTAGCTATTAGACAAGCTTTCAGAAAAAAACTTCCGAGGTTGGAATGAAGGTTTGCATGGCCAAATGCTTGTCCTGTCCCCTTCCCACTCCCAGAGCCAAACAAACCAGTCTAAAAGAGATATTCCCTCCATCTACTTTTATCTACAAATACTTTTTACAAATCGTGCTCCAGAAATACACTGAACGGCACACTAGATTATCAGGATTGGCTTCAGGTCTCAAGCAACTGTAGGAGATCACTCATCATCCAAATTCAGAACAGTCTCAAGTTCGTCAGAGCCGAGAAGGCACCGTGAGGGAGTCAGGTTACTGCAGCCACAAGTGAAGAGTTACTGAGTGATATTATGAGACCTCTCCCATTAAAAAAGAAAAACGATCTAAACACAAGTCTTCATATCTGATTATTTCAGGACTCAGCTGAGGCTGGAAGGGGTGTGGGGAAGAAGGCAGCAAGAAAGCAGCTAAGGAATTCTGCCCATATGTCTGAAAAAAATAGCTGAACGGAAACCCCACACACGCTAGCTTTCAACCGCTTCATCTTTAGGTGTAACACCTCATCTATGCTGGACTGTTAGCTTAAAATTGGCTTCTATAATCAGATTACATTAGAAAAGTCAGCATTGTGATTTGACGGATCTTGGAGTTTTCACAATTCAGTAACTGCTAAAACCAGAATAATTACAGCACACAATAAAGCAGCTGGTCTTCTTGACCAAGATCCTTTTCCAAACTGAAGCATTTGCAGTGGATCTTTACACTCCTAACAAAACTCAATTTCTATCACTAAAACAATATACAGACTTAAAATTATTGTTTGCCCACCCCCCCAGGCCATGGGGGGCTTACTGTTTTCTAATGTTCATTATGAATATAAACATTTGTACAGAAGTTTTCTTCTTAGCACTATTTCTTCAGAAAGAACTTCAGCAGTAACACACAAGTTCTCTGCCCAGTGGAACAGTATTTTTCACTCGATGGCAGACATCTCTCCTAACGTACAAACCTAGCAAGCATCCTCTGTGTTTTAAGAGCACGAGTATTAGCATATTTCAAGACCAACAAAAACCAGCTTATTTCAGCACTGGATTGGACATTGATGTCACTGAAGTGCACAGGATCTTATTCTGTACTGATACCACCCTAGTCACTACAAACGGCAGAATCCAGACAACAATCAGAAAATAAAGGCAGATGTATCTGTGTCTTTAAAACTGTCCTTTTTCAGATCTCTGCATCTTTTCATATTACTGTTTCAGAAATGAAAATAAGAAATAGTAATATGAAAAGATTGGGGAATGACCTATTAGAGAGCAGCG